CACATGCACTACATGCCTACAATGCTAGTACAAACACTCTGAAAACATGTACAACATGAAGCACTAACCTCGTCAAGTCTGAGTTGCTGTTCTAAGAGTTCCTCAAAAGTCTTGGCAGAGGATGCACCTCCTGGAAAAAATTTAAGGAGAATTTGTTGAGCAAAGAAAGTAAAAAATAAAGCTTCATGTAAAAGGATGACCTGGTGTAGCCTTAAAGTTACTGTCATACATATTACAAAAACTTTTCCAGAGAGTCTTATGACTGGATTCAGCAAATTCAGTAATCAGAGTAGAATTCTGGGCTCAAATTCTAGTGTACATGAACTAAGCAAGCCATAAGCTTAGTTGATATCCATGCTTTTGGTACATTAAGATTTCATTGTGCACCAAAACAATTCTTAGTTGTGCCCTAACAGAAACAATTTCACAAGTTTGTATATACCTATGCCTGGCTTGATGGGTATTTCATCATCTACTTCAGTATTGCTTTTGTCCAAGTTCTGTTCATTCTGACGAGAACAAAATTGACATATGATCTATATTGGTAATTACATGCCTGTACAGTAAATAATCATTTCATGAAAAAGACAAACTGGCATAAATATTCTTCATTGTTATTTGATTTCCTTTATTTCACCTCAGTTCCATTTCTGCATGCTATTTTTTTCTTGTGGGAGTACAGTTATGGGAAAAGGATTATCCAGTTTACTCCAGTCCAGTTAAAGTAAATTAATTTATAGCTTGCAGCATGTGATGTATTGAGCCATATGTAGCAGATATAAACCAGATACTCTTAGGCTCACACAATAAGATGGGTTATTTTAATAACCAACTTCTTCCATCTAGTAGAATGTGTATATCAAAGGTCATCATCCCAGTGAGGAGAATTTGTCCATGCGGGGCTTTCATTAAGTTTTGGTCACCTCTAGCCTTGATCTTTACACCTGAACCATTAGCTTGTTCAGGGGTTTCATTCAGGCCAGGGCACCATGCAAAGTGAGTACATGTTGCTGGGTGGGTGATTTTGCCTTCCTGGTATGAATATCTAGAGGAAAGTTTTTCTTATGATAAAGTTCAGTTTAAAGAATTTTGCCTACCTGTGAAAACCAGTTGCCTTCCTGCTGAAAACATTACTGAAACCCCTGCTTGTTACTTTGTGGGTGAATTGTATTAACAAAAGGTACTATTTCATCCGTAACATCAACTTGGGCCTATCAAGCATCCTCAACCATAGCAGATGTTACAGGTTATGGCCCTTAATGACAGCCCTGCCATAAACATGTATGTTTAGTACATCAGAACCCGAGAAAACTCACCATTCCTTCTACATGCACATCTTCAGGATGAGGTTCTAATTCTATTACTGTTGCATTCCTTTCACTGGTTTCTTCTAATTCTTCCTCAGCTTCTGATTCTTCATCCATTTCTTTTTCCTCGTTTTCTTCATCGCTCTCATTCACACCCACCTCTGGTTCAGAATCATAGAGAGGGTAAACACCACTCATAGCATCAGCTTCAGATTGTTCATCAATCTGAGAATCAGCATCAGCCAGGCCTTTTACCTCAGCATGGTGACTCCACAATCTTTCAAGTTCCTGTTTCATACCTGGACTTTTGTTACACTCAAGAGCCGTGTTAGTCTCCCTGGCATTGACTTCAAAATGGCTTTGACTGTCTCTTCCAGGGTTATACCCCACTCCTCTTAGCTCCTGAGATGAAACTGGAATCTGAGAACTTGAAGGAACTTCAATCATTCCATTATAGTTCATACCTGCATAGGGCATGAGTCTGTTTGAGTTTGCTGAACCAGACACAGGCTGCCCTTGCAAAGGCACAACCTTTGGACCAGAAGAAAGGGGAATTGTACCCAAGGGAAGGCGATAATTTGATGAGTTCCACATCATTGGATAAACTGTCTTGTTAAAAGAAGCTAAACTTCCTTCAAGCTTTTCTGTGGTTCCATTATACTGCTGAGAACCAAACTGTCTCATTTGGAAATCTGAATCTCCTTGACTCATTACAATAGGTGGTGCAGAAGATGTAGGTATAGATCTAAGTAATACATTTGAATGATGTCCTATAGGTTCATTATTTTCAGCTTCTGCTCTTGTCATCATATTTATTGGCATCTGTGCCCCTGCTTTCTGTTGTGGATGACTCTGTGCAGTGGTTGGACTCATAGTATCAGCCTGACTTGAAGTCTTTACTAAGTTTGGAGAGCGCACTGTCACACTTGAAGTTGTTTGCTGTTCTTGAAGTCTCTTCTGAGCAGCCAAGATGCTCTGGAGTTTATTTTGTTCCATCTTCAACGTTTCCATTTGTTGCTGTTGTTGACGGAACATACTTTCTTGTTGTTGTTGTTGCCACTGGCGCAGTTTCCTAAACTTCTCCAAAAGTTGCACCTGATCATGAGGTTTTTGGATCTGTGGCTGTGCTGCCATGTTCCTGTCCTTTAAAGGTTGCTGAGATTTTGTTACTAACACAAGAGAAGAAAAGACGTGTTTTTACAATAACATTCTCCAGGGCTGTGCTCTAGAAGTACTGGGTGCCACAAGCAACTACCTTTTGTCTTTGGACGACTGAGAAAACTTACTTTTTTCATATAAGGTCAAGTGCTGGGCACCCAAGATTTCATGGTTAGGAACCTTTGGACTCCTTGTAATTTTTCTTAGACCACAGCCTTGGTTTTCTTTAACATTTTATATCAGTCTAACTCAGCTCATATCCAAAATGGAAAAGAGGGTAAAAGAAAATATTGCAATGAAAAAATATTATCGGCCATTACTAATTCATTTATTTAAAGAGCCAGGTCTGAAATCAGGTATGGATTTTAGTATTCAGGTATGACAATGGATATGAAAAATGATGTATTTTAGTCTGAAAATAGGTAAGAATTTGGAAAACCTTGCAACAAACTGACCAACCATCCCCAGGAGTACCCCACCCCCTAAAAGGTCTATGGTTGCCACCCAAGGAAAAAAATACTTGACTTTTCTCAGACCATAACATATTAATCACACAATTTTCACTGATCATAATAAGACTGACCATGAATGCTCTTCTCTCTTAGGGTGCGTTACTTTAAGAAAATCCAAGATTGGATTCTTACATCAGAAAACGGATTTTGCGTTTCTTTTCTAAAGAGATCGGATCATGGTGCGTCAAAGGAACGGAAGAATCCACTTTAGGGAGGGATTCTCTGGTTCCTTTGATGCCCCATGATCTGGGTGATCTTGGATTAATCTGTTAAGAAGAGAAACAAAAAAATCCGTTTTTGGATTTAAGAATCCAATCTTGGATTTTGTTAAAGAAACGCATCCTTAGAGGAACGAAAATCGTGGATATTGACGAGCAGTGTATCAAATATCGATAAGCGCCTCATCGATTTCATCGATAGAATTGATCACGCGAGGCATGCCATTTTACAAATTACATTTGAGCCTACGTTAAGCAAGTTTTGTCTAAGTTTAATCATATGTGAACCTACCTCCTGCCTGAGGAACGTAGTTTAAAATTGCGTTGCCATCCTGCGCATTTCTGTCCTTTCCATCTCTAGTTAGAGATGGGTTGTTCTCCTTTTGATTAATAACACCAACGTCTATCGTTTTAAAACGTTCCATGCTTTACACATTCCCTTGTCTGTAGAGTTCAAGAAGTCGTCCAACATCCCAATACGTCCCTCAGTGCATTCAAGACCATGCAAACACGTGCATATGTTCGCCAGTTGTTCAGCGATTTCGATCGCAAACAAAGTGACCCATCCAGAAGCTAATTCGCATCTTAAAAGTGAATTATTGGACGGCTAATAAGCATTTTTAGCTACGGTAACAATAGTGAATGATCAAAGCGAAACCATTGTAATTTCTACGGAGGAACGCGCCATTTTTCAAAGTTTAGCTGGTCAAGTTATCGCATGCGCACTACAAAATGCGCTGACCATCATCATCGTTGTTTCAGACATGGCGAAGGGTTTGCATTCTCTGAAACTTGAAGAAATTTTGAAGAAGGAGCTCCAAACCACACAATGCCAAGGTTTAGGGTTTGCAGGTGGTGGTTGTATAAGTGAGGGAAAGAGTTTTGACACCGATCACGGCAGGGTTTTCGTCAAAGTGAACGATAAATCAGGGGTATTTATGCCGACGGTGACTTTGTTATCGCTCAGCCAAGGGGAATCTCCTTTTCGATTAATTTTTGTTTGCGCTTGTCTTTCAGGCTATGAAAATGTTTGAGGGCGAATTTAACAGTCTAGAAGCCATTTGTCGAACTAACACTGTGCGAGTACCGAAGCCAATCAAGGTTTGCTTTAATCAAGTCTTATAATTGTTGAAAAATGTAATAACTAGTACAGTCTTAACTGAGGCTTGCTCTCCGATTGTGCGGCTTTTTGTGATTTCAGTAAGTGTGTGTATGAATTTATTCACAGAAATTTAAAAACTTTGTACCATTCCTTTTAATTTCTTGTTACCGATCCACGATAAAATAAAAATTATAATAAATTTCCTATCTGGAGTGCACTTTTTAATTACTAACTGTATTTTGAACACTTTTTAGCTGTTAGACCATCCGTCTGGAAGTGGGGCAATTTTTGTCTTAGAACATCTTGAAATGAAGAGCTTACGGAAATATCAATCACAGCTGGGGACAGCACTTGGAAGGTAAGGAACAATTTGCATTCAGCCAACAGCTACATACACTGTACCAATGAGCTATCCAGCTAGATCTCTGTAAGAACATCAACAAGCAAAAGCAATTGGAAACAATAGGAACTAGTCATTCAATAATGAGTTACAATAATGAGACCAAGTCATGATTGCTTTAGGTTTTGCAGCTGATTAGTTGTGTGCTGAGGTGGTGCTAACTTTTGTTTTCTTTTTCAAACCATGTAAAGTGCTGCATGAGAGAATACTGAAAAACCAATCACATGTATTGATTATGTTTGGCACTTACAGAAGGGTGGCACTTGGCGCTTGTCGTGAGGGTAAACAGGAGTTTCTCACAATAACTTGCTCTGTCCTCTCTGACATGTTCTCTGCAGACTACATACGGATAACATCAACAAATTACAGAAGAATGCATCAGAGAGCAATAAGGTTGGCAAGGGTCAGGATCCTGTTGCCGTTGAAAAGTTTGGTTTCCCTGTTACAACATGTTGTGGCTTCATTCCACAGAATAATGAATGGTGTGATGATTGGGTGGTAAGTGTGGCCAGGCACTTAGAAGTATTATAGTATTTCTAACTCATTTTTTTGTTGTTGTTTTACTGAATTCCATAGATTCAATGCTTTCTCAGATTGGAGAATTTGTGGTATACGTACATCTACATATCATGCCTATCCACAATGCATGTACAAAAAGCTCTCAAATGGCTTCTTTCATTATTCAAAATTAAAATTCAGCTTGAAAGGGAGGCCTACTCAAATGACACAAACAAAAAGATTAATGAATAAACATGTTCATTTAATTTCCTTTGTTTGTGTCCTTTAAACCTGGCTTCCAAGCTGAATGAGTGGGCTGTTGATAGTAACTAAATCTTGCATCAAAGTCCTGCAACATTCTTTTAAATTCATCTTGAAAGCAAGGCCTAGAAGACACAGAGGGCTAGATAATTTACAATTAACTATCATAGGCCTGCAATGAGTACAGAGGGCTCAATATGCATTATTATACTAGATAATCTTGAATGTAGTTGTTTTCCATGGTTGTTGGTAATTTTATCAGTACTAGAACATAATAATGTAGTATCTTGATCTGTTTCTTGTAGACATTCTACACCAGATGTCGATTACAATATCAAATGGACCTAATTGATAAGGAGGTTAGTAACCTCTTGTAGTTGATAATAAGCATACATGTATGTGTTGAAGGTCAAAATGAAATTCAGGTTAAATGATTTTAACCTAGTTTGATTCTCAATCTCCATTATCTCCTAACCCTAATTATTCATGATCCATGAATAATTAGGGTTAAGAGACAAAGGAATTTCATTTTAACCTGAATTTCATTTTGACCTACAACATATACACTGCTTTTGAAAGATTCTTGAAAACTGTCTAGTGAATTACCTGAAGATTTATAGCAATTTTTGGCCAAATCCCCTTACCTCTCCCCAAACCCCCACTAGAAGGTCATTTGAAATTCCAAGAGAGTTGGGGTCTCAATCCTACAAATTTTAAAGAAAGTATAAGATTAAACAAGAATTTCCAAAGAGGTGGGGGGGTGGGGGTTTAGGGGGTGGGGTTCAAACCCCCAAAACATCTGTGGATGAGGGAGCTGGCATCTCAATCCCAAAAATGTTAAAGGAAAGTATGTGGTTAAACAAGAATTTTCAGAGAGGCAGGGAGGTTCAAACCCCCAAAAACATCTGTGGAAGAGGGTATGGACCTTTCTGGTCCCAACAGTCCACTTTACCATGTAACTGAACAGAAATGTTAATAATTTGTGCCTTCTTGGTTATTGACATATGTAATGGCAAAAGTATGGGGATTCAGAGGCTAGATCACTTTGGTCAAGATTACAGCTGAAAATTCCAGAGTTTTTTAAAGGCATGGATATAAAGCCGTCACTTCTTCATGGAGACCTTTGGAGTGGAAATGTAGCAGAAATGGATGATTGTCCAAGTTTGTTGAATAATGATTAAAATAATATTTTCTTTAAAAAATGTACCGGTAGTACACTTTATTCTCAAACTTTGCTAAATAATTATATACACATGGCAGGGTTTAGTACAGAAAGTTCCTGACTGTATTAATCTTCTTACATTTACATGTTTTGCAAATTAAGAGAACTTGAATGAACTACAGAGTGAACCCACTGTTCAAAATAAACAGAGTTGTCCGAAAAGGAGTGTAGTTTTAGGCTTATCCTCAATTTACAAATGAACAGAAGATTATAACAGTATTTGAGAGAGCACTGAAAATTGTGTCTGAAGTGTGTGTTTTGTTCATTGAAAACTAATAATCGTTATTATATAATAATAATAATTATTATTACTCGGTTAACATGAATTGTCTAACTTTGTTTTGTGTATTTGTCAACATTCTGTTTTAATTTACAGTTGCATTTGATCCCGCCTCGTACTATGGTCATCATGAATTTGACTTAGCCATTGCCGCTATGTTTGGTGGCTTCTCCAAAGAGTTTTATGACTCATATCACACTCAGGTACCCAAAGAAAAAGGCTTTGATAAACGGCATCAGCTGTACTTGTTGTTCCATCATTTAAACCACTGGTAAGTTAATACTCAGACATCTCAACATCTGCATAATGTACTAGACATTCACACAACAGAGCTGACATTAAGTTTTGAGTCACCCGTAGCCTTGTCCTTCACACCTGTGACAAAGTTGTCATTTTGTGAGAGAATTCTTTCAACACCAAGCAATTCTGCGAGTAACATCAAGGACTAATGAAGCGTTTTAAGCCGCAACAGGTGATACAGGTTATGGATCTTAACTAATGGCAGCCCTGCACAAAACTAGATGTTCACACAACAATTGAGATCAATAAAAAACTTAAGCTCGATTTCCACCTGTTTTATGAGCCCGTGTTCCTTGCCCCACACAACTCCCAAATCGAGCCTACAGAAAACTAGGCATCCGCAGATCTTTACACTCAAACATCCACATTAAACTTAATGCGTACACTAACTTCAATATGCACACCACATCCAGTCAAAACCTACAATTCAAATGTCAAGGAACTAATACAGTCACACTTCACCTCAAAACACAAACAGTATTTTATACAAACATGGGGTTTAATCATGACATCTTAACTTCTGATCAATAATTTTTCAGGAATCACTTTGGAACAAGTTACAAGTCATCTTCTCTAAGGATTATGCTTGGACTAGTTGAAAATAGCTAGCAAAAAGTGACTGACAATTTTGTGTTAGACAAGATGGAATATTCAATTCATACTTTTAATTAACAGTTGACATGTTTTGTTGTTGAGGACAAAAACAACTAGCAAAAGAAAACTAGATTCAATCAAATTGTAAAAAGCATAACGTTTAGTTTTTGGGAAAGAAAATGTTACTTTAAGATAATAAACCTCTAAAATTTTACACTTTTTAATGTGTAGTTTCATTACACATTTTCATTCTTCTGATTTGTATTTGACTGCAAGACTCTTAAAAACATGCAGTGATAATACCTGTAAAATATCTAATAACCTATTGTACTACAAGGTCTATTAATAATCACACTTAAATTCAAGTGGCTAGACACAACCTCAAACCTAATGCCATCACTTCTATGAATTAGAAACCTCAGTCTCTAAAATATAAAACATTGGCACAGTTCTGTAGCCGCTACTCGTTAGTCTACTTTAATGATAAATAGATAATCTTAGAGTAATCATACCAAAAGTGATTTCATTTATTAAAGAAATCTCTTGTACATTAGTTGCTAACAAAAAATGTTTTGCCATAAAGCATGTATGAGGTTCAAGGCAATTTTAATTAATTCCTTTTTGTGTTCAATCGTCTATGCTCGCTTGCTTGCCAGGTAAATGCTCCACAGGAATGACATCATGTTTCCACAGAGTACCCTGTACTGTAAACACAAAATGAAACCAAGAGTAATCAACATCTGGTATCCTTAATTTTATGCTCATCAATGCCAGGTTTTGGGCGATAAACTGTTGCTAGCCTTTCTGACTTGTAAAAGTTATTTGTAATAAAAAACATAGTAATATCAAAGGCTAGATTTTTTTAGGCAAAGAAAGAAGACTGGATCATAAAGTTTGAATGCTCTTTAGATAAGAATGATAATAGCACTATTACTTCCTAGACCATTATTTTGCATTTTGGCTCGTAACCCAAGGGCTTATCATTATATCTACTCATTACAAAGAATTCTTACTGTTCACAAAAGGTTCATCCCTTAATTTGTAGAGTAGAGACAATTCTACTAACTGTATCATAGGCCTACAATGTGTCCAAAGGCTAACTACACATTTTAATTAGTTGATTACACCCAATGACTCATGTGCACACACATCACATGCCTATGGCACCAGGCGATGTTCCTACCAGGGTTATAGGCCTGCAATGCATACAAAGGCCTGCCACTGTATAGCAGTGGGTTCTCTATACACATTACATATATACATGTACCTTATGATAGCTTCGAACTTATGATACATAGGTGATAAATAATATATTTTTTAATTAATAATCTTGATACTGCATCAAAGCAACTCCTAATCTGTATACAGCATACTTCACCAACATACAGCAAAACTTTCAATTGTAAAAAATAAAAACAACAGCCATCAGATGGCACTGTAGTAACCACACTTTAAATAAAACTGTTTTGGGTTTCAACTTTGGTACTCAAAAGATGTAAGTTGTAGTTACCTGTCTGGGGACATAGTTGAGGTTGACATATTGAAACACAATCCACACTCTCCAACTCATTTTCAGGGCAGTCCAATACATCTGTCTTATCTTCATAATTGCTTCCTTATGTGACTTCCCCTGTGAATAAAGAATACTTTAGTTGTGCCGTGTACAGTGCCATTGTCATGAAATGTCTTTTTTAAGCTTCACATACACTTTTTATGCTACATTATCATCATCACCGAAAAAAAAAAATGTTTTCCTCCATTTCATCCAGTGAAAAATACTTTTGAGTTCTGACACGGCTGTGGTCTAAGAAAAATTATGAGCCCAAAGGTTTTATAAGCATGAAATCCTGGGTACCCAGCATAAGCTTATATATATATGACAAAAGTATGTTTTTCCAGTCACCCAAAGGCAAAAGTTAGGCGCTTCTAGAGCATAGCCCTCCCTCAGATAATGGTTTCTTAGATAGTGATATGCTTACCTCTGTTGTCACAGCCTCAGAGTCACTCAAACTTTTATTTCAAGGTGGCTTTGCTCATGTCACATTCATGACAAGGATGGCATACGTGAAGTGCAAGTACAGTACTCACTTGCACCTGTAGATCTATGTTGAAAGTAAACTCATAATGCTCAAGACTACTCACCTCGAGGATTGCAACAACGTAGAAGAACAACAACAGAAAGAGAGGACTAAACACGCCACGGTCGACAAGTAATCTCTTGGCCTTGGAATATGACACTTGCCTGGGGATGATTTTATCTAGGACCTCATAGAAATAGTGGATCAAAGGACCTGTTACACAAAATCTGTGAAGAAAACAAAGACCATACAACCACTGTCAGCTTTCTGAAAGTTTTTAGGATGCAAAGCCAAAGATGTAAATTTGCTAACAAATTGTGGTAAAGGACACAAAACTGACAGTATATTAGAAAAACTAACACAAACTTTTACTAAAGTTTCACATGTTAGTTGAAAAATTAATCATATTGTTGGGTTTCAATCTTGGGTCCAAATTCTGTATGAAAGCTACTGAATAACTGTCTTTTATTTTACTTTTTACTCATTTTTTTACACAAGCAGGTCAGTATAGTTTGGAAATTTAATTGTTTTCTTTTAATGTTCTACTCATATGACTGTGTAAACCCAACTACAAATAAATTTAAAAGCTGCTGTTAAACTAATTAATTTGATTTTAGTTTCCTTGAATGGTATTGTATGGCTCATACTTACCCAAATGTTGAAAAGGCTATCACTGGTCTGTAGTCGACAAGTTCACCTTTTCCACGTTTGACGATCTTTTGAGATACAATGTTACCAAGTCCTGCAGTAACGGCACTGTTAAAATAAATCAACTTTAGGTCACTGCACAATGAAACATTTTCTTCCAACATAAAATATGAAGCGTATGGAATTTATTGACAATCCACCACTGGTCCCCAGCTCAAAATAAATATTTATTATTGACATGGATCAGGAGTCCCAAAGGAGGAATCTTCAGAGATGACGCTATTTATAATGTGGAGCATTTGTACAAAAACACTCAGATAGCTACTCCACCCCCGCAACCACCTGTTGCTAGGTGGCCATCTGTCCCCACTCCCGGTCAAAATGTGGTCAAAATGTGGTCAAAATGTGGTAAGAACATCAGTGACACACTCGGCTATCGCCTCGTGTGCCACTTTTTTGTTCTTACCACATTTTGACGTCATCTGTGATCTATTACTGAACAGACGCACGGCAACATGGAATCTATTTGTTAAACAGACAATAGACATCGCACAACCATTCCATTATTTGCAAGATCATATTCAAGAATTAGACCTGTTTAATCCCCGCTTACATCGCCCAACGAACCCTTCACGATCGATATACTCCATGTTCTGCATTCAGCGAGGCTGCATGGGTGCGCAGACCTCGACCGCAAGTAAGTTTACTGATAAGATATAAAATTGTGCAAATTCTAAATTCTAACTTCACATACCTCGTGACACTCTTTGTCAATATCGGATGCCTCAACACACAATAGTTGTATCGCGCTACAAGCTGCGACAAGTACGCGTCGCGATCCGCTTTCTTTTCGTCAGGTTTGTCCAACGAAGTCGCAGACGAAGCCGCCATGTTTGTATGCCTTGGTTGGGGGAAAGTGCTTTAGTACTTAGTCTTCTGTGGAATTTCGAGAAGGAGAAACTTGGAAGTCTGGGTACAAGTTGTACAACTCTCAAAACAACGTGGTTCAAACTCAAACTCGTTCAAACTTTGCTATGATGAAGAAAGAATTAGACCAGCAACCAAACAGTTGTGAAGTCTGTAAAGATGCCTGCCATAAGTACAAATGCCCATCGTGCAGAATGAAATAGTAAGTGCTACATCAGTGTGTTAAATTTCCAAATTCCACATTGAATCGTCTCTTTGAAGCCGCTCATCTGCAGCCAGCTGTCAGCTTAGAGGCTGGCATCAAGGTTTACTTTACACTAAGCTTCGGTTAATTATGGTCTCCTCTATTTTATAGTTGCTCTCTTTCCTGTTTCAAGACACATAAAGGTAAGAAAAGGTATCTCTGGGTTTAAAATAGTTAGTAAATGATGTTTGGGCCTGCAAAAGGAAGTGATGCAATGCAATGCAAAGCAATCCAAAGCTTCCATGATAGCTCTTTTGATAACTTCTTGACGTCTGACGGTATAGTAAACTTGTTGGTGCTACTGTACATCACACTAGCTTGTGGTCAGACTTTCACTCCCAAAATTATCTGACTGGCTTCTTGGGTTGTCACTTACACAACCTTTTCTGTCTCATACATACATGTAGTATGTGGACATTCTCTCCTCTGTTTCTGTTATCATTCATATCAACTTATGGGATGATTTCCCAGCTGCTTCACCAGGGTCCCAGTTAGCCAGGGTATTTCAAGGTAGATCAGATGATGTGTACTAAAGGCATCAGTCAGTCGAGAGTCGAGAAATTTTTGCAGGCACACCATCGAGTGTCAATCAATACACATGAGTTGGTTGACACTCTGCGAACTACCAACTGTCAATGAAGTGTTGGTAAAGATGTTGATCAGGTGTCAATCTGCATGTAGTGTCGACTGAACATCGATTGAGATGTTGATGTGGTGTCAATCAGGATGTTGATTGAGTGTTGATCAAGGGT